TTTTTTTTATTTTTACCCCAGATATTGTCCAGAATGTCTCTAGAGATAACTCTTGGCTTGCTATCGGCGCTGACCGGCAACCTTTATGGTACTTTCCAATACTGGCTGCAGTCCCTCTCAAGTTGCAACAAAAACTGTCTCTTTTCCATTCAGCGGCAGTTATGCTGCATGCTTCTTCCTGATGGGATCGGATCCTTAGACAATCTTGTCAGGTTAAGCCATGAATTCTCCAGCGAGAACGGTACAGACGAGCCAACAAAAGAGAAAGACGTGGAAAAATTATTTCATCATTTTCAAGCGTATTATTGTAAGGCGCTTGTGACTGAGTTGTGGTACCGATGTCCTGAGGTATTGGAGGTTTTATACAGTGAGCGACGTGTATCAGTGGAGGAAGAATCGGCGAAAGAGTCTGAGCCTACTGAACTAGTTAACTCCAAAGACGATGTGGCATCTGAATCCAAAGCGAATGAGGACAGACCCACGGAATTTTCTCAGCCCACACATAGAGAAGCAATAAAGAAGAAATGTTCATACCTCACGTCTATTGTTGTTACCGACAAGAGTTCGAATTCAAAGGATCCTCTGTCATCGAGTGAGAGTGCCGGTTTTGGCAAACAAGGCGTCTCCGAAGATGATTTATCATCTGAATCTACTTCGGACAAGGACAGAAAAGGGGAAATTTCTCTTGTCGAAATCGCTTGTGAAGATGGTGTAAACGGAGACGCAATGCCAAAGGTGGGTGCATGCCTAACTGCTCTTGATGTAGAGAGGAAAAGCTTGCATTCTAAGGAACATATTTCTTCATTAGAGACCATCAACGTTGTGAAGCAAGATTTCGTATCAACCTTGAGGAATGCAAAAGTTGTGTTGCTTTCAGATCACTACGCGAAACTGAATAATCAAAGAGCGCTTCTTGTGGAGATCAGAAAGGTAATGTTGCTGCGGAGATCACGGCAGTTTCTACAGTCGGGCTCAATTAGCAGCCAGTTGAACCAGAGGAAGAAAAATGATAAGAAGCCGAAGACTCAACCGGCCAAGCCGATTGGTTTTTCTGCGAGTAGCAGTGACGTAGGCTCAATGAGAAAACTTGCTAACTCTGGAGAAACTGTAGAGAGTGTTCAGACTGGGAGTAAAACGAATGACATCGTTAATGAGCTATCAGAGTCAGCGGGTGCAACTTTAGAAGTCGAGGGAAGCTCCAGTAGAAAAGATTATAACAGTTCTATTGAAACCCTGGATGGGCCACGCGGCTCGGTAACAGAGAGAAAAGATGACGGTTTTGACGATTTAAAGACTATGGATGGAAAAGTCCCAATCGACCTGAGATACGTAGCGAGCGATGCCAGCCTGCAATTCCTGGCTGTTGAAGAGGAAAAAATCCTAAAGGAGCTCGAACAATTTGACTTGAAGGTGTGTAAACATAGAACATAAGATGAAAGAGTCCTATTTCAATAAGATAAAGATACTTTTTTAGTAGAAACGGAGATAATAGAGACCTTTCGGTACAAAACTGATGAAGAGTACGAGTGACCTTACCAAACCAAGAGCGCGGCGACGGCAACGGCATATCAACTTAGGCCTCGTTGTAAGACGTTGAGTTGATCTTCAAATCTGTGTGTAAGGTGTTCAGTTTTGTTTTTTAAGACCAAATTTAGGCGATAAAACTGTTTCCTTTCGTCTTTTGCAACGGATTGCAGGGATGGACACGGATGGATTGAAACTTAACAAATTGGACTTACTATTTCAGTGCTGTGCCTACAAAAATCACCAAAAAGACTTTATTATGGCAAGTGCTGCTTAACGAAATTTGTTTGATATCTCTTTCACAACTCCACAGTACCATTGCCTGTGCATGAGTAAAGGCACTAAGTCATGACTTCAGCACAGAATTGACCTAAAACAGCAACATCCTTGTGAGATAACCCCTTTTACCTCCTCTGGGTTCAGTGGTTGGAGCGCTCTACCGGTATTCTGCCAGTGTGTTCCAGGCGTTCAGATGAAAGAGTGCGGGCGAAAAGTTGACGAGGGAAAAGGGAACCAGGGGAGACTCCATTCGGTTTTTCCCTCGTTTTCCCGGCGTACGATTTAACTCGCTCCCCACCATCTGAACGTGGCGCTTTACTATCTGAACTCCTGGAACGGGCTAGTATTCTGGGTAATAGTGAATTCAAATAATGTTTGAGACTCTGAGTTTTTTTCTTTTTCCCATGCCCGTGCCTTTCGTAGATAACAACATTCGATTTCTTCGTTGTTATTTTTTTTTTCCAGGATCTTCCATTTCCCTCGCCTATGGAATCGGCTCTGACAATAGCAAGCCTAGCCACCTGTTCACACGGTCTCCCTGTAACAGTGAGACAACTCTGGGAACTGGGCACTAGTGCTTTGCAGTGGGCCCAGACCTATGCCAAGACCTCAACAGATTTAAAAGGAGTCCGTAGACTAACTAGGACATACAATAAGGTAGTCTAGCAACGCCTTGTAACAAAATGGCGATGTCTTGTTCAATTTAGAACACTGATCTACAGGAAGATGTTTAAATTAAAATAAGTAAAATCAAATGCGAAATACTACTCCTTGCCCCTTTGTTGGACTATTTTAACTGGATATGCTCGATTACTAAGTGTCTCAAATGTGGCGTCCGTTAGTGTTGATCACGGCCGTTTTGGTCACTCATTATATTCTTAAGTAAGTGGCGACAAATGTCCGAAATATCACGCACGTACCATTTAGCCACATATCTAAAAAATTTCGGGAGAAAGGTTAACGTTAAGGTTATATTTTAGGAATTTCAACTACAGTTTTGAGAACCACGATTTGAGATAATCCCTTTTTTGCGGTTAGAATATGGAATACAAAGGGATAATGTCCCTGCGACCATCTTTTTTAAAACATTGAGTTGTACTTAAAGTGGCTGGGTAATCTTAAGTGAAACCTCTTCGAAGTTCGCCCTAGCCTTTGGTGTCAGGAAAGCCGCGCAATCATTCATTTTTTGTCTCATCTGCTGCAAGTTGTTCTAGTTTTGCCGATGTTAATGCGAGAGTGAAAAACGTAGTTGGTAACTGCATCTTCTTGTAGGGTCCTAAAGGGAGTCACACAATTCTTTATACCTCGCAATTTCTCTCGAGTACTGTTCCTTATTTTAATTTGCATATGTTAATAGTCGCTTCTGAGATTTCACTTAGTTTCTGCTAGTCCTCTCCATCCTTAGTACACGACGTTGACAAAGACTTAAAGTGCATAATAGGTAGGCTAAGTAGTTGGTACGTGTTGTGAAGCACGTTCACTTTACAATTTTTCAAAAAAGTCAACCTTGATTGTGGTGACCAGCATTAAACGAAAGAGTACTATTATTGTTATCATGATTAATTTATGTATGTTTATCTTATCTATCATGTGCCCCGTGGGCAGAGAGGTTTCGACAAGTGGTCCGTCCATTAATGTCACGCATTTGTACAGTAGAAAAACGCAGTTAAAATTACCGGAAATTGAGGAATAGTCAACTGATCATTGCGCTAAATTTTGCTTTTCATATGAATGTGTTTTAATTTAAAAGGGGGCGGACAAAGGGAGCATAAAAGTTGGCGTGGAAGTTTTATACTAAAAAGAGGCATACAAGACAAAAAATTCGAATTATGGATAAAGATTTTAATTTATTTTTGACTATTTTGTTCGCTTCTTGAGCAAGCGTAGTCTATAGCTACACCCCTTCTATCACTGCAATTTCAATGAATATCCGATAATAGATAGAAATAAAGATATCACATTTATAGCTGGGCCATCAATAAAGCCACCTATTCTATAATGATTAGCTGTATCTTCTCCATCTTATTTGAAGATAACCTTCCCAAAGTGGAAGTTATCGTCTTACTTTCTCCAACCTCCGGTATGGTACAATTCAAATATCTTTCAAGAGTAAGCTGATTTTTAATCAGAAATAATTTGGTAATTAGTTTCTTTCATTTGTTCGTCTTATTAAATTTCTTCTTTTCTTTGAATCTTAATTCAAATTTAAAGACGACTGTATGTTTTTTCATGGTTAGAGATATCCACGTGCGTTTGAAAGCGTAATTCTGCGTTTGTTTTAGTTCGCCGTTGCTCCGTGTTATGAAACAGAACTCAGTTCCCGTTGGCTGTACCTCCTGTTAGTTCTCTTGGTACACATGACTATATCCTTAAAACTCTGCCGGAATTTCTTATTCATTACTCCATAAATTATGGGATTACACCCACTATTCAACATGGCCAGCCATGTGGTAGTAGCAAAGTATTCGTCCGGCCAAGAGTTTCTGCATTTTTCAAAAAGTAAACAGGTCATTCCAATAAAGTGAGGTGCCCAACAAAACATAAATGTACCCATAACGATGAGAAGCGTCTTCGCCGCCCTTGTTTCTCTCCTAAACTTCTCCTTAGCTTCTCTTTCTTTCGCTTTTTCCTTTGCCGTCGGTGGATCTTCAACCGCTTGTGTGCCTTTCTCGTTACCGAAAGCCACCGGGACGGCCACCATCGTTTGTAACGTCTGTTCTTTTAGTTCGCCCACCCGCGGTGATATCTTTTTACTCTGTTTCCTCGCCGCACGAAGTATATGGAAGTAGCAGTAGGTCATGACCATCAGTGGGGCGAAGAAGCTGAAAGCGAAGATGAACATGGTGTAGGGGATGTTTTCTCCCCAGTTTGCCGTGCAAATTGACTCGTTGTAGATGTAGGTGTAGCTGGACCAGCCGAAGATGGGGAGAAAAGCGCAAGTGATGGCGTGCATCCAGACGTAGGTTATCATACCCAAAGCGATTCGCGAGGTCATGATGAGTGGGTACTGGAGTGGCTTGATAATTGCAACGTATCTGTCAATTGATACAGCTGCTAGCGACAGCATGGACGCAATGCAGAATATCGAGTTCAACATCCCGTTGATCTTACACCAAATATCTCCAAACACCCAGTGGTAGGTTATAGAAGATGCCATAGTGAATGGCATTCCAAGGAGTGCAAGCAAGAAATCTGCCACCGCAAGATTAGCGATAAACACGCTGGTGATACTGCGAAGACTGTGGTTTCTGTAGATGGCAAGAAGGATCAGTGTGTTTCCTAAAAGAGATGAAAGCATGATGACTAGCAAGAAAGATGCCTGTATGGCTATGGCCACCTGAGAATGCTTGTCTTCTGCGTATACTTCTGACACCATGTCCGCTGTATAATCGCTCGATTTCTCTTGCTCTCGATCAGATGGCGCGAAAATCCGTCCTTTGACTGCCAAATTTGAAAGAAAACGTGACTCAGTGTTTGTAAACGTATATTATTCTTGTCACTGCATTTTTACGTACTAGACTGTGGTTACCAAAGTCACCTCGAGAAAAAGTACTGAAATAAAGACTCCCACGATGCCGGTTTGTTGCTTTGATTTCTTGTTCGTCTACGTGCTTTTCTGTATTCCAAGCGCCCTAAACTGTCAGTGTACTTATTTTCCGACGATTCCAGGGTGTCGTTTTTCATAAAATATTCACCACAGTGTTCCGTGATAGGCCGTCTCTATGACTACAACTTGTATATTTTGAAGTTTTCCGTTTATAATGTACTTCTCTTTGTTACCAAAACATGGAAAGCCTCGCTAAAACCACCTCGGAGGCAAAAGCCTTGTTTACAACTTCCCCATCATCTGGAATATTGAAGATGCATTTCTCATCGGATACAATCTACCCACTATTTTACCTGAAGTGATGTCGTTGTTTACGCTAATCTGCGAAATCCAAACGAAGGGACCACCTGCCTTGTTTTAAGTAATCTGAAACAAATAAAAGTAAAGTGGAACTATCTAAACGACTAGAGATGTCAACATTACGTTAATTTTTACGTTTTTCAGTGTGGGTAGAGGGAAAAAAAAAACAGGGAAAAAATTAATGCTTGACATATTTTGTTGTCAATCTGTGTCCTCACCAATTTTCATTTGGACCATATCTAAATTTTCTGCGATTGCATTTGTATGACAAACGGATATTAATTTTGCTTGTGGTTTTGTTTAAAGAAAGAGTGCATTTTCCACTCAAAAATCTTATTTCAGATTTTTCACTGAAAAGGAAGACTTAAAACGAACGGCTCTGATTCGTTGGTTGAAAAAAAGGAAATCGAACTGTCGTTTGGGTTGCGATCTGTTTTAAACACTAAAAGAAAAAAAACGAAACGAAACAAAATCGTCAATATTTAATTTCTTATCCCGTCATCATCGCTTTTGTCGAAAAGCTCTTTAGAAACAATATCAAAATAAGCTTGATTTTTATACTTCTATCTCTTTATTCCCTGTACCTATTTTGAGAAGTAGTAGTATTTTGTTGTACAAAACTCGAGTAACACATTTTATCCCGTAGCTTGCTGAAAAACTTTCAACGCAGACAAATTAAAGGGTAGAAAAAACTAAGATGGAATTATTTTTGGTTTCTGAACAACATTTACACTATATATTTACTGTTGTGTCGCATTACAAATTTGTGTGCTTCTAACAAATTGAATTGAGCTGAATTCTTCACAATACGGGAACGACTGCTAGTGCGTCTGGTTCTGCATGCTGGCATATATCCATATCATGTTTCACAGTAAGCTATTTTCTTTCACGTTTGAAATTGTACATGTATTCAGGATTAAATTAAAACTTAAGTTTTCCCATATCTCCACCAGATTCAGTAAACTAGGCATGTATACTAATGATATTCCAGTTTCTGTATCTGTGTATGAAATCCTTTGGTGTGACTCATCTAAACGAGTGCTATTCCGAGGTACTTTATTGTTTTTAACTACGTTTGTACGAAGCGAACTTCAAAGTAGTTGGTTTTTTTTATTTTAATATTTGTCAATTTTTGAATCAACGTGTTAAACCCTCCACGCGAATGCCATGACGAGCTGTTGCGTATCAGTATGTTTGATAATTCATATATGTATCTTTTTTTATCGCGTGGCGCTTTCCCACAAACTTATTTAATCCCACAAAAATAACCACCACAAAACTAATAAGACACGGTGGCTCTTGCACGTGTTATCACACATAAGTAAGGTTTACATAACATTTCTTTTTTTAAATTTGTTCGCGAGCATTTTTAATAAATCAGCTAACAGTGCCCAGAGTGAAATTGTTATTAACTTCGGACGACACAAAAAAACACATCAAACAAAAACGTCAAGGGCATGCATACCGTATAATTAGTAACCACTGTTGTTTTAAAATTTATAACCCTTACACTTTCAGAAAATGGCTGGTTAGCCCTGACATGAAAATACACTGATTGTAACCCAAACCTCCATAAGGTCATTTCCAAAAAAATAATGATGTATTACAACAAAAATACTTCCATACTATCATGATCAGCAACTGTGCTGTTCCGTCTATGATTATTGTAAACCTGCTGAGGAATCTTTGTTTATATAACATTGTAGAAAATATTTGAACCTTAAAAAGCTACTCTGTGTTAGTGAAGAGATCCTTGCGTTATGAAGGGATCAGTCCTATGTTTAAAAATGAATTTAAAGCGAATGTCGGATATATAACAAGGCTAGGTTTTCAATATCACGAAACAATTTGTAAGCAATTCCCCAGAGAAGACTGAGATGAATTAATTGAAATTCAATATTCACTAAATGTTTTGTTTTGTTTTATTTTTTTTTTCCCTTTTCTCTTCTCTTGTCCCTAATTACGTCGAAAGGTTTCTTTGCTTCGTTTTTGTTAAAAAAAAAGTTTGAATTTTTTCCTCATAACCAAGGACGTTTGTTACCCCCTATTGACAGGAGACACGATCGGTAACTACTGACAATTACGCCATATTGAATTTGATAAACACGAAGTATCTTTATGGGAATCGTGTTGATATCGGATTGTCTCTTTAACAATTTAACTTTAAAGCACTCAATAAGTATAATTTGTCTGGTGCGAGATTTTGCAGTAAAAGTAGAGGACTATTTTAAAAGGCTTAGGAGTCACGAACCTCGATTTTAAATTTGCCATGAAATTATCAGCAGGCATTGAGAGGTCTAAAAAGACAAGCGTATGTAAAATTTATAAAGTACAACACTGAGTCAGTTCCCAAATGTCCTTTCTTTTAGGCAGCAAAATCTTTCCAGGAATCTATGTTAATTTCCTCTGAGTCCAACAGATATCGAAAAAACGTATGGTCTCTGGGCTTAAGATTATCAATGCAACAATGTTTTAAAGGACCATTCCAATTATTTTCAACTTGTTTATTCAAATTACGCCCAGTTAAGATACAGGAGTTTCATTCCTAATTAGGTTCCTGCGAAGTGTTCTTTGTGATAAATTTCATTTTTCTGTCCAATTTTTTTTTTTATTTGCTTAGTTTTGTTACACATTTCAATGATTTTTTTGTACGTTTCGGTACGTTTGAATTCATAACAAAACTGCCGAATACAAAATAACAAGGCAACGGTCACGGTTTACAATCCCTGTTAATCAGTCATCTCTGTTTATTTGTTGTTTTGAAAATATTTTTGCAATTGCGCATGTTAAGCGAAGACTAGAAGTTTAGCTTTGTTTCATCTGGACGTAAAATTGTGCTCCAAAAAAATGTCTCCGAAAAATTGTGGAGGTGTACTAGTTGCTATACACTGAACATATTTATAGCTATAATCGATAACCAGTATAAACTTAAAAAGCTCAGAAGGAAAAAATCAAGAAAAATATAGAACAAATAAACAAACAAGCACTGAAACAAACAAATCTCGGAAAGGCTTTTCTAAAGATTCGAGGATGTAGTTGGGTAAGCCATTATACAGTTTCAAACCTGATGACGAAAATTTTCAAATTCTAGAGACAAAACTCAAAAATAATCATTGGTAATAACAAAATCACTTGCCTGTGTTTCGCATAATTAGCAAAAATCCATAGAATATATTGGATGAAATTTATAGCGTAAGAGATGCCGGTCGCTTTTTTTAAGATGACGGATGCACTAATAATGTAAGAGTATTTTGGTGCGAAAAAGCAATTTCGACCTGGTGGTAGGTCTTACATCATGCTGTGAGGATGTTTCATGTAGGATATATTTCGTTTGAAAAATATTTAATAGGCACTGAACGTGATCAAACTTTTCAAACCTTAGGTAGGATTTTGCAACGGATAGGAACCATTGTTGAACAGAAAACAGTTCTTTTGTTACTTGTTTTTTGGGTTTAATTTCTAAAGGCAGCTCTTACAATGATTTTAATCAACCACAGGCTACTTGGAAGAAATGACTGACTCAACCGGGACCAAATTTATTAAACATTGACGGAGACTGATTTGTTGTTAAGTGTTCGCTATAGAAAATGAAAATAAAGGCTGTATTGACAGAGCTGTGGGATGCCAATTCACCAATACATAATCTGTCTTGGCACTGGCGCCGAGAAGTGTATGTTAATCAGTCGAAACGTTGATCCAATAACTTTATATTACGTATTATCTGAAAAGAAGTTAATTGACTCCATGTTTACTTTTAGCTTAGCGTTCGTTATAATTTTTCTCCATTTTGATACAGATTATTGGAAAATGTTCTAGCCTTGTAATCGACCCTCGATGCGCATGCGTCTTAAATAGAGCTGCATTTATTTAAGCTCCTATCTCTGTACTGTTTTTTTTTTTTCTTTTTTAAGTGAATATTCCTTACGCTTAACCCGTTTTCCATAGCCGCTAAGGAGAGATAAGTACTCCCCTATAAACGGGGTGCTTAATCCATGATTTTTCAATCCCTAGTTTTACATCGCGACATAGTTAATAAAGTGGAATGGTCATGAAACCCGTTAGACACCTTTGTTAGATGTTTTTGTTAGATTTTTTGAACCTGACCGTGCACAACGTTCAATAGCATTCCCATAATTTTGATCTTACTGACCAATAGAAACATCGCATTAATTTATTCAGTCACAGAAAAGGATTGTGCACGGTCAGGGAGCTTCCAGCGTAAACTACAGCACCGTTGATAACAACTTTGATGTTTGCCGGCTTTCATAACCAGTCTCCTCTACTATGATCTTGAAGGACAAGCACAGATTGTGTGGAGCAATGTTTCTTAAATAAAAAATAAGCTTGATTTTTATACTTCTATCTCTTTATTCCCTGTACCTATTTTGAGAAGTAGTAGTATTTTGTTGTACAAAACTCGAGTAACACATTTTATCCCGTAGCTTGCTGAAAAACTTTCAACGCAGACAAATTAAAGGGTAGAAAAAACTAAGATGGAATTATTTTTGGTTTCTGAACAACATTTACACTATATA